TGGCCACAAATATGATGGCACTGGTCCACTAACCAGCAGTAAGGGGGTACTAGTCCACTGACCAGCAGTGAGGGCACTTGTTCACTGACCAGCATTAAGTGGGTACATGCCCACTGACCAGCATGTAGGGGGCACGTATCCACTGACCAGCATTAAGAGGTTACTTGCCGACTAACCAGCAGTAAAGGGCACATGTCCACCAACCAGTAGTAAGGAGGCAATTGTTCACTGACCAGCAGTAAGAGGGCACTTGTCCACCAACCTGTAGTAAGGGGGCACTTGTTCACTGGCCAGCAGTAAGAGGATACTTGTTCACTGGCCAGCTGTAAGGCCAGTGAACAAGGTACTGCAAGTATTCACAGTATTTTGTTTTACAGAAATACATCTGTATTTCATTTTTTTTTCACTGGTGATAGGGCTTCTTTAAGGGGGCATGCACAGACACAAAACACACCACTGACCACCAACACTTAAGGGTGTATACAGACCCAGCAGGGGCAGAGCTGAAGAGAAGGAGATGGACATGGTGCAGGCAAAAGAATGTGTTCTGGAGTTAGGTGATTTCTTTTTTGGGCGATTTGGTATGGGGCCCTGTGATTTCTAGTTACGCCCCTGATAATTCATGAACATGGCCCAAGACTGAAATGTTTAGTGTATGTTCCAGCACACTTCCTGGTCCCGTGTCCAGCACTACCCCCAACAAATTCATTAAGACATAGGTGACCTGAAGAAGAGGACCTTAGGCATCCTAGCACAACATGTCACAGTGTTGTGCACAATACGTCATTGCAAGGCATACATCCTGCGGTGGATCAAAACTAAGCAGTTCTAACAGCAGTCCTAACAGGCCTTTAGCAGTATTCTTCCCCCAGGACCAGCCTAGCATTCTAAATACTAATTTAGAGACTCATACCATATGTATCACCAGCTGACCATTGCACTCCAGGTTTACTGAGGTAGGTAGGAAAAATTAATCTTGGAGACAGGAGGATAAAAAAGGAATGCCCCTGCCGGGGTGGGACTCAGTTTTAAAGCTAAATGCCCTAAGAGTTGAGCAGGGGGTGGAGCTCATGTGTGATGCCATGAAGTTGTCGGAAAAACACAATTCAAGTATAAGCTCTTGTTCCATTATTTTTAAGCACTACTTTAGCAGACCCCAGTTCTGTGCAAGCACATGTATTTACCACATTTCTAGGCCATATCACACAGAACGGTGGAGCCTCTCTCAAATCACATAACTAATACCCATTGCTGAAGTCAACTGGAGTTTAATTTTACATCATACTTTTACATTATTCCATTAAATGAGCATTAATTAAACATTATAAATGTATTAAACCTTCCATTATGCATTGTAGTCCCATCCAGTGCTATTTATAGGTAGCTAAACTTTCTTGTGTCTTAAGAGAATTGCCATGACTCTTGCAAATAGAGGTACAGTTTCCGTTTGTCAGAGTGAGAGTAACAATTTTAGGGCCATCAAACACTGATAACACTAAACTGATGAGCGATAAAAGCTTTTAAAGCGTCGCCTATGGTCAATTTGGGGGTATAGTAGTTTTTTGCTATTTTGCGGGTATGTGCAATTTTAAAGCTTGACATGATTGGTGTCTATTTACCCGACGTGACCCCGTCTTTTATATTTTACCAAAAAATTGGTGCGATAATAAATGTTTCATAACATTTCATAGGGAAACAGGTTTTTTTTTTCCAAAATTTAGGGTACTTTTTTTTTTGTTATATAGTATAAAATAAAAACCCCAGTGGTGATTAAATACCACTAAAAGAAAGCTCTATCTGTCCCTAAAAAATGGTATAAAATTAGTTTCAGTACAGCGTTGCATGACGGAATAAATGTCAAAGTAGCGCAGCGCTGAACACTGAAAAATGGCCTGGCGAGGAAGGGGGTTTAACACCCTGGTCTTTAAGTGGTTAATGTATTTTTTACATACAAATATAGGTAAAATAAATTGTCTGGTATATTGTGAATGTTCATATTTGTGGAACTAAAGAAAAATAATAAAAAAATATTCTTTCAAAAAAAAACTATTTGTCTGGATGTCAATTCCTATCACTCCCTGCACAAAGAATTAGGAGCCAATCATGTACATGTCCTGACTAGGGACATGCTGACAGGAAGAGAGGCCAGAGTGAGCAGAGTTTTTGATTTGCCAGTGTGTTGCTGCTCCTTCATTGCCCAATTAACAGGCTGTGGGAGGTGGAGGGGCAGTGACATCACTTTGCTCCTTAACCCCCTAAAAGAGAGCTGTGTTGTCTGGCAGAGGTGTATAAATCACAAAAGTGGCTGGACACAATTACAAATCCTTTGGGAAAAAATCTTACTTATCCTCAGCATTCACCTGAATCGCTGCGTACCCTGCCCTCCCCGTTGGAAGCTCTTAGGGCCTTGGTCCCCTCCTTATCCCTACGTGAATGGACCTCTAGGGGAATCTGTCAACTGCAGGATTTGCTAATAGATGGTAAAATACGACCCTTCTCTGTCCTATCTTCCGTTTATGGGCTTCCCTCTAGCTGTTTCCTTCAGTACCTCCAAATTAAGCATGTGATACACTCAAACCCACATATACTTTGCACCATACCATATGCAGCCTGGAGATTCTACTTCGAGAATTCCCCTAAAAGAGGGGGAATATCGCTATTCTACTCCCTACTCTATAACAAAACGTCCTTTGTCAAAATTAAGCCTCTTGTGAGCTGGGAAAAGGATCTTAAGAGTACCTTTTCTGCGAATCAGTGGATGCAGGCCCTCTCTTGTACGCTTAAAACCACTAGATGCATAGAATTGTGGGCTATGCACTATAAGATATCCCTACAATGGTACTATACACCCTACAGGCTGGCCAGGATGTTTACAACGACTTCCCAAATGTGTTGGAGGGAATGTGGGATGGAGGGCACTCTGCACCACATTCTATGGGAATGCAGACACCTAAGGGAATTTTGGAGGTCGACCTTTCAGATTATAGCGGACATTATCGGTGTCCCGGTAGACCCATCACCTGCTCTGGCGGTCCTTTCTCTGGGGATAGAACGTGTCCCAGCTAACTATAGACGCTTAACGGTCCATATCCTACTGGCAGCCAGGCTCACTATAGTTAGGAAGTGGAAAAGTTTAGCTTCCCCGTCCATAGGTGAAACTCTCTCCATAGTGAAGGTCCATTATCACCACGAAAAACATATAGCGTAAAGGGAAGGGACACTACCTAAATTCGTTTAGAATTGGCTTCCGTGGGTCCGCTGGTCCAGCTCAGCCACATCGGCCCTTGCTCCATGAGGAGCGGGTCTCTGCTCATTCTCACAGGAGTATAAGTGCATAGTGTCAGGCCAAGTTGGAAAAAAAAAATCTTACTTATGTGTATTTAAACTGCGCGTTTTCTCATTTGCCTTGAGTTCAGGTTTAATTTTTCTTCTAGGTATTATGTAATTAAGCTTGACTTTCCCTGCATCTTGCATATCACAAATATATCATGCAACTTAACTAGTAAGGCCTTCTTTTTTTACCTCGTCTTAAATTTGAGTTTAATGATACATAAAAGCATACTCATATAGGTAAATAAGGATCATTTTGACTTGTTTGTTAATTATTTTTCACATTCTGCCTGACACCAATGAAGAGTCAGGCTCAAAGTAGTATTTTTTTTAAAATGAATCCAGATCAAGCAAATATACATTGCCCAACAAAGCATTGCTTCACTTTTTTGCCCAAACACTTACAATCATCATGTTTCAAAACAGCTGCTTCCAAGTCTCCCAGCTCAGCTTACCAGAACTTCCTGTCCAATACAAGATCACAAGGGACAGAACAGACTCCAGCAACTGTTCATCTACTAGCCTGGAGAAGGGAGGAGGGAGTAGAGGGAGCCAGGAGGGAGGGAAGTAGCTTGATTCGCTGTGTCTGTGGAGACAAACACAGCTTACTAGCATACATAAGGGCAGGGCCGGATTTGCTCTCCCTGCCGCCCCAAGGCCAGGTTCCGCAATGCGCCCCCTCCCCGACAACCAGCCCCCCCCCCATCAACGGAGAATGGAACCGGATGGCAGGGGCGGCACTTTTTTTTATTATTTTTTATCAAATTTCTTTTCACTTACCTTTATTGCTACCACACAGGAGAAAACAAAACAATCTGTATGATAGAAATTGGAGGTGACAGGTTCTCTTTATTGACCCTGTCACCTCCAATACAGGAGCTCCAGCACAGTACTGTGCTGGAACTCCTGTGACAGGTGAGAGCGGAAGAGCGCAGCTCTCCCCTCTCACTGTGTACACGGAGCGGCAGGGTTAGTTTTAACCCTGCCTCTCTGCTCACTGTATCGGCGGCAAGGACAGGAGAGAGATTCGGGAGGACGGAGTCCCGAAGACCAGCGGAGAGAGGTAGGTGCGGGGGAGGGGACTGCACACATATTACAAGTGATCGCCGCAATCACTTGTAAACGAACGGCCCCTCTGCCACGGGCCTCGGTGGCCTTGTGGGGAATCCGGGCCTGCATAAGGGTGACTGTATAGCACTCTGCTTGAAAAAGGAGCCACTCTAAAGCCAGGACCACTGCTCAGGGCACCAGCTGATTCTGCAGGAAACTAAAACTTTCAAACCTCAAGGAGCAGCATCCATTGCAAGTGATTTAATTAGCATTTGAAATAGCTTAAAATCCTTTTAACTTTAATATCACTTTAACTTTGAGTGTCCATTAACAAGAGTTGCTATCTAGACATTTGCATTCTTCTACTAATCAGGCATAAGCCAAAGTTAATATTCTACAAGTTAAATAGGATGGAAAACCGTCTCTAAGCACTTGCTTAAGAATTACATGACGCAGCTCCAGAATGATTCATCACATACATTGCCATGGCAGAATTGCTCGCACCCGTATATTGAGTTCTTCGTGAAATTAAAGGTTCGAGAATTGGCCAGCACAGGAAGTGACATATGCCTATGCAGCACTGAGGGTGCTGTGAAGCAATGATGTGGATGATCTGTTAAGGGGAGGTGCATAAACTCTGCTAGGGTATAATTGCATGATTACGCAAACACCTATTAGAGTATGTCCTGGGCAAAGGACAAAGGGAGTGTCACCTGTAAGCAGACAGATCAGTGAGCACATTTAACCATAGTGCATGTGTCTATTAGCACTATACGTTTATCGATACATCGAAGCTTTCCTAGCACCCTGCTAAGGTCTCTTCTGGATACTGTACTGTGGATGGACTTCTAATTGAGGATAGTCGTTCAGGACCAAGTCAGAAGGTAATCACATCACTGGGCTTAGTTATTGTTATGTTAAGCAGTTTTAAAGAGAATCCCTCGTGTCGAAGTTAACTGAGAAGCTCATTAAGACAATCAGCCTCTAAAGCTATCTCTATGTATTTATTCTAGTAGATATTCACACTGGGGGTCAGTGAGCAGCCCTGGATTCAGAACTCTCTCAGTTATATAACTGCTGACAGGAGAGATTCCACTTAATAATGAAACTTTGCCAATTCTTACCTAGAGACCTTACCTATCCTTAATTCAAATGAAAGCAACTTTTGGTAGATATAAACCCTAACTGGGTGACATTGGGTTTGCTAATTCACTGTAAATCATAAATGGTTACTGAGCTTTCTTTTTTTAGAAAATAATGTTTTTAATGTTTTTTTTTTGCGCAACTCAGTGCTGTCGGTCTCCTCCAGTCTTTTTTTTCTAGCCACCTCTGTCTACATGCATGCAGTCCAACAAATTATCATTGTAAGTGAATAACACTTTTCTTTGCTAACTGAACAAACTTATACCTTCTTAGAAGCTCAGATAGAGACAAGCAGAGTAACCAAAAGAACATCTGGGGTTAGGCATTTTTCCTGATAATATACTGTACCTTCATGGGAAAAAGTAAGTACATGCCATGGAAGCATATTTGAACAAGCAAACACTAGATTTGCATTTAAACAGCACCTACAGATAAAAGTAATATACTTCAATAAAAGATTGAAAGGGCAATTTGTTAATTAACAAATATATGAACAGATGTAATGGTGTACTTTGGAAAAAGTACATAGATCCTTGGCTTTAGAAGTCGATATTGACCACCTTTAGCAAAATTGACTACTTGGGGATGTTTTGCAAAACTGTCCTACAAGTCTCTAACATCAACTCGATGAAATTGTTGACCACCCCTTTATGCACAGTTCCTTCAGTTGCAAGATATTTGTGGATTTCCTTGCAGGAACTGCCAGTTTTTGGTCCCTCAACAAAATTTCAATGGCATTCAGGCTTGATGTGTTGACAAACTAATTTCTGTTTCAACTTCAACTTTCAGACAAATAGTCTCACATTCTCTTGAAGCACACTGTGATATGATGCATAATCCATATTTGACTACATGACTGCAAGCTTCCCAGGCTCCGAAGCAGCAAAGCACTACCACTAGCCATAACATTTCCACCACCATGCTTCACAGATGATACAGTGGGTATAGAAAAGAATCACCCCCCTTTAAAATAATCACATTTCGTTGCTTTGCAGCCTGAAATGAAGACAGACTGTTTTTGTTTTATTAAGCTGTATTTACTCAGTGCAACTTATAAAATCCAAGTGAAACACCAACATGTCAGAAAAGAAAAACAATTCAAAAACAGAATCCCTGAGTTGGGAAAAGGTTCACCCCCTTGTGTCAGTATTTTGTTGAACCACCTTTTGCTTTAATTACAGCCTTAAGTCTGTTGGGATATGTCGCTACTAACTTTGCACATCTAGACTTTGCAATATTTGCCCACTCTTCTTTGCAGAACTGCTCAAGCTTAGTTAAATTTGATGGTGACCGTTTGTGGACTGCAGTCTTTAAGTCATTTCACAGGTTTTCATTGGGGTTTAAGTCTGGGCTCTGACTACTATGCCATGCAAGGACATTCACCTTTTTTTCCTTCAACCACTGTGTGGTCATTTTTGCAGTGTGCTTTTGGTCATTGTCATGTTGGAAGGTAAACCTTCTTCCCATTGACAACTTTCTGGCAGAGGGCAGCAGATTGTCCTCAAGAATTTGATGGTATTTTGCTGCATCCATTTTTCCCTATATCCTGACAAGTGCTCCAGTCCCTGCTGCAGAGAAACACCCCCATAACAGGATATTACCACCTCTATGCTTTACTATAGGAAAGGTGTTATTTGGATGGTGAGCTGTATTGGATTTCCACCAGACATATCGTTTGCTGTTGAGGCCAAACAATTAAATTTTAGTCTCATCTGACCATAACACCTTTTTCCATCTTCAAGGTGTGTTTTGGCAAAGCTCAGTCGTGATTGCAAGTGGCCTTTCTTGAGGAGTGGCTTTTTTTCTTGCAACCCTCCCGTACATGCCACATTTGTGGATAATTTGTGATATTGTTTCCACATACACACAATGATCATAAATTCCTGCAACTGCTTCAGAGTTGCTGTAGGCCTCTTGGCAGCCTCTCTGACCAGTTTCCTCCTGGCTCTTTCATCCAGTTTGGAGCAAAGTCCTGATCCAGGGAGGGTCTGTGTTGTACCAACTACCTTCCACTTCTTAATAATAGACTTCTCCGTGCTTCTAGGCATTAATAAAGCCTTTGACATTTTTTTGTATCCATATCCTGACTTGTCCACAACTTTATCCCACAGATCTTTTGACAGTGCCTTTTCACACATAGTTGATTGTTTGCTTCAGTTGCACTACCAGGGACTGAAATGCTCCAGGAAAGCTCTTTTCATGCTGATCTAATCAAAATGACCCCCACAGCTGATCACAGTTGAAAGTCAAATGGCTTTGTGTGCCATTGAGTAGGTGATTAGCTACACCTGATTGAGTTTACAAGTAATTTTAGGAGGGGGTGTTATATGTTTAATTTGGTTGTTATACGTTGCACTGAGTAAATACAAAAACTGTGTCTGTCTTCATTTTAAAATATGGTTCTTCTTCTGTAATATTGTTTTTGTTTGTACCAAACATGCCTACTGTAACTGTGTCCAAGCAACTCTTATATTTTATTTATCAGTCCACCGTACATTGGCCCAAAAAGACCTGGCCTTTGCCTATATGTTCAATGGCAAATTGTAGTCTTGCTATATTGTTCTTTTTTGACAGCAAAAGTTTTTACCTGGCACATTACCCATGCAAGTTACATTGGTACAATCTCTTTCTGACTGTACATGCATTTTGTCCGTTGCAATTTTTTGGTAACATATAAAAGATGGGGTCACGACGGGTAAACAGACGCCAAACATGTCATGCCAAGGGGGCAGAGGACTTTAAAAAAATGTCACTTTAAAAAAAAATGTTTTGTTACTTTAATTTTTTTTATTTATTTATGTTTTTACACTTAACTTTATTGCTATCACATAGGGGGCTGACAAGCCCCCTATGCAGAGCCGTCACTACCGTACAAGCCTGATCCTCCTGTCCCATCGCACTCCTGACCGGACAAAAACCCAAATCCAACTGGGTGGGTGCGGTGGCGACAACGGATGCCTCCGTGAAATGTAGATAGATAAAAGTCGTCACTCGCACTCCATGATATTAAAGTCAATGCTGTTTATTGACTGAGATAACACACATCTCCTTAGCGACGTTCGAGACCATGCGGCCCCGTCCTCTGTTTGCCTGAGGACGGGGCCGCATGGTCTCGAAATGTCGCTAAGGAGATGTGTGTTAAGCTCTCTCTCTCTCCTGCACAGCTGACCTCCGCTGACCTCAGTCAGAGCGATGTTCTTATAGCATGTGCCGACGAACTGTGACAACAACATATTCATTCGGTGATTAGAAGAAGAGAGAGATCAGTACTTACGTTTTGGTAGAAAGCTTTTTAAAAGAAGAGATGAACTCTGATGTTTTATCACAGACAATATTTACTGATCTGTAAACTATTTATGAGATGTAAACAGTGACTATGTTATGATCAGTGATACTTACAGCCCAGCCCACCAGGAAACTTTTTTTCTTTTTAGAGCTGGGAAGGATTAGGATTCCTGTTAAGTTTTTATTGTTATCTTTGCTTGTTGGGTATATCACCTATCTTCTTTTCCTACCGACAACATTTCAAACCCTGATACACAGGGTACACAAAAAAAGGAAAAGATGGTAATGTGGCAAACAAAACACAAACCGCAATAACAATACATTTTCTATAAAGAATTGATAGACTGTTGTCAGGCGTACATCACTATGCCCCACTGGGAAGTTTTCTGCTCAATTCCTTTACAGATGACAACTTATCTGTCCCGCTTTGACAAGGTATACAAATGTAGGATTTTCCTGAACTGAAGCAAGGTTCCTTGGTGGTAGATGATAAAAATAGATATCCAGGGGAAAATTACTTAAATAGCTTTAATAGAGAGTGCTGAAGTGATGAAATAGCAGAAGGCACAGCTGGATACATTAACAGTAGAAGTGTAGCTTCTCACAATGTTGCACAGGATCAAATAGTCATATTTATACAGCAATGTTTCAGAGTCTACATGGACACCTTCATTAGGCATCTAGAAAGCGCCTGTTTAACTAGTAACAGGCACATGCTGTATCACCCTTAGCATTGGAGAGAGGAGACTAAGCTCGTTGGTGGATTCGGGTAAGGATAATTTTTTTTCTCTCAATGGCAGGTGAGGCTCTGTCTTACTGGTTTGGGGGTGCTGTTTTTTTGCCGCCCCCCTGGAAAGTGCCACCCAAGGCAAATGCCTAGTTTGGCTTGTGGTAGATAAGCCTCTGATGATAGCCACAGGCATGACTTCAGAGGCAGATGCATGAATGGATTTGTAGTTTCACAACAGCTGGAGGTAGAAAGTTTGGCTGCCCCTAGTCTAGGTAGTGGTTGAACACATTATGTCCTGACTCTTTTCGCAGCAATGACCTTCCACTTTAATGTAAAACTACAAAGCTGCATTCTGATCATTAAGTGACCTTTGTAAAATTGCCTTCTCTGAGGGTTTTTTCAGTTCGCTTGGGGTCTGGTGCCCATACGTGGAATATTGCAAACTATTTTTTGGCAGAACTCACAGGGCTGCTTCAGAATCTGCTTTATTCTCTTTAAATGTGGAATTACTGCTGATCACACACACATTTTTTTGGGTGCCTGATTTCAAAGAGGATTGAATGGAGAATTTTCTTACAATTGGTGTTCCCCGTATTTTTAACGACTATGATTGCCATATGCATTTGTTTTATAATTATGCATAACAAAATGATATATATAGTGGGGCACTGGCTGACAGGATTGTGGACAGTGTGAATGTGTGACCTACGTTTCTCACATATGTAA